TAGGATATAATAATATAAAGAAATAAAATTAAATTAAATATCAGGTACAATTAATTCAGTAAAAAATAATCAATTAATACAAAAAGTATTAGTTACAAGTACTTATTTACAATATATACATGCAATGACAAACAAGTTTACAGTCCAATACAAATTACGTCTTAGTAATATGGTACATTGACATAAATTTGAAGATACACAGGATGATTACGTCGATGAGATGATTGTCATCCAAAGCAACAAGCACAGAACGGCGTGAATAGGACAAGGTGAGGCCAGAGAAGACAAGGTGATTTTGGCAGAGGAGGCTAGGAGTAGGCATTGACCGTGGTTCGTAGAAAGTATTTAGTGATGAGTGTTAAGAAGGCATCATAAGTGTCCTCATAGTCAAAGATTCTCGTACAGTCAGTGGGCCATATTCCACCATGTGCCTCAATAGTGAGCTTAAGGTGAAGCCGCTCTGGTTCTAACATCAGGCAGTTGAAGAAGAAGTGTTGACTGCCGTTCTCAACACCGCACAGGGAGCAGTTAGGATTGGATGTGTTAGTGAACCTTGTAAGGTATGAGTTGAATCTGCCATGATTACTGAGGAATTGACTAGCATGATGGCAAGGTTTGTACCACCTGCTAAAAATAAAAGTCTCAATGAGAGGGATGAAATTATATGTAGTATGATGGTTAATATCATTCCAGTCCTGCTGCCAGGAAAGAATAAGATCCTTCCAAAGTAGGTTCTTGACTGTTTTAGAGGTTAGCTTAGTATAAGAGATAGGGAGATTGGTGTCATCTCCTGTGGATTTCGCCAGGGCATTGGCACGCTCATTACCAGGCAAGCCCTGGTGGGCTCGTGTCCAATAAATGAAATAGCGGTTGTTAGTGTTGTTGATGATGTCTTTTATTTCATTGGAGATGGGGTGACCAGTGGCACTTTGCAGCAGGGAGATGGATGAAGCACTATCCGAAATAATGGCCACAGTGTTGTTAGTGTAGTTGGTGACTGAGCAAGTCCCCGCCATTTTGATGGCAAACAACTCTGCTTGGAGTACAGAACAGTGTTTGCCCAGCCAGTAACTTCCAGAGACAATCTCGTTGCTATTGTGGAAGGCGACAAAACCGCTGTCCACCTTAAAATCTGCTTTTGAGCCATCTGTATAAATTTCGATGTTTGCATGCTCAGGCTGAGAGAAGGTGATTAAATTGGGTGTTGCCAGATGCCTGGTAAGAGCATAATCAATGCTGCTTTCGAAGTCACTGCTATTGATGTTATAGTTTTCTGTGTAAATGGTGTGGCCCCATTTGAAGTTCCAGAATGTTGCCTTAGAGATCAGAAGTTTATCTATGGGTGCCTGTTTGGCCAGAATCTGTAGGGAGGTATTGGGAGTTGTTGCATACCTTCTAGTAATGTGCATAAGTGCACTTTGAGCGGATATCACTTTACGTCTGTTGTGCACTTTGCGGACAGCCAATTCCCAGCTGCCGCACGCATATGATGTTATGGGCACAAAAATTTTATTGTAGATTGTTTCCATAGCTTCGGAGGCCAAGCCCCATCTACTCTTTGCAATACGGGCAAAGGCATTAAAGATTTTTCCGGTCTGCTCAGTGATGTAATCTATGTGCTCTTTCCAGAAGAGTCGATGGTCGAGAATTACTCCCAAGTACTTAATGGATTTTTCAGTAGTGACCGAGTGACCTCCCATTTTAATTGTGGGCACTCTGAGGTATAAGTTCTGTTTGCCTTGTTTGTTAAAGATGATACCTTTGGTTTTCCTTGCGTTAAATCTTAGTTTGTATTCTTCTCCCCAGTGTAAGATCTTATTCAGAGTATTGCTGCTGTTTTCCTCGAGCAGCACGAGAGCAGCCCCCAAGGAGCACAAGAGCATCATCGGCATATGTGACTATCTCGTACTGGCCGAAATCTTGTTCCAGAAAGTTGTTAAAAATGACATTCCAAAGGACCGGGCCACAGACAGAACCCTGTGGACAGCCACAGATGACTTTGTGATGGATAAGATGCTCACCACACTGTAGGGTGGCTGTTCTGTTATGGAGATAATCATAGAGAATTTTATAAACATTTGCAGGGCTTTCATAAACATTTTATAAACATTTCACTTAACTGTTGCAGGATTAAGGGCCACCAAGCACTGTCAAAAGCCTTGGCAATGTCTAGGCTTATGGCAAGTACATATTTGTAGCTATCGAGTAAATCATTGACCCTGCTTACAACCTTTTCAATAGCATCCTCTGATGACTTCTGTGGCCGAAAGCCAAACTGTGAACCATGTATAATGGAATTTGTCTCCAAATGCCACATTAGTCTGTTATTCATCAAGCGTTCCAAGACTTTGCCAAGGACTGGCAGGAGAGATATTGATAGACTTTCCTCTGAATTTCCTGGCTTCGGAACGGGGACAATCCTGGCATGTTTCCAGGTTTCAGCAAAAATACCATGTTTAAGACAGGCATTATATAGTTGAGTGAGTTGGCAGGGATCAAGGCTCCAGATGATTTTGGCCAGTTCTGGTGTAATATCGTCATGTCCTGGTGCTTTTTTATTTCGGAGGTTGTTAAAGGCATTGTTAATCTCATGAAGTTGAAAGACGAGGTTGTTTTCAGTGTGGATGTCTGCATTGGTTTGATGTCGAATCCTTTGATGAATTTCATTGTCATTTCCTCTGGATCCTCCAGGCAGAAGCTATCGATTTTTCTGTTTGCAGCTAGGAAAAAAATCTCCCCCCTTCTGTGTTAGAATAGAGAATTTGACTTTTCCTTAGCTTCCTGGTACACAGTCTTGTTATAAATCCCCATGGGTTTTTTGTGGCATTGGTGCAGTAATTTTCCCAGGACTTCTGTTTGGCTTTTGGATCCTAAAACATCACTGATGAGCAATTAACTGATTGCCCCTGGAAGTCGGCTTCTTATAGAAACAGCTTCCCTATCATCAAATGTCACTGCACACTACTGCTATTTTCCTAGTTTGCTCCCCCTCTATATCCTTGGCTTCTGTTAACCAAACATGAAGTATGATCCAATTGTTGTGAACATGCTTTCTCAAAATAGTTTAATTAATAAAATTGAGTATTTAAAAAATTTTCTTTGGTTAATATGAAAACAACTCTAAGTTCTTTACAAATAAAAAACAAACTGCTTTGCTGTAGTACATCCGTATTTACAAATTGTTCTCTAGCACTTTTGGACAACCAAACCCATTGTCAGGAGATGCACAAATCAATTAACCTAATAGCTGTCCCCTATGTCACACAACAAGATGTCACATCAACAACCATTGTTGTGTGAACTTGGGACAGCTGTTAATTCATTTACATGTCTACTGACAATGGACTTTGTTGTCCAAAATGCAAGAACATTGTAAATAAAGGTCAGTTTAAAATCTGTTTTTGTTTTTATTTTTATTTTTTTTTTGAAATTTTAAAACTGGAGTTTGAACTCATTTTATTCATTTCTAAAATATAGATATTTTCATTTTAATTATTTAAAATCATTCAGATTAGAATATAATCTGAAGATACATTTGCTTTTCTTATTTAAATTATTTTTTTACAAATATAAACATCCTTACTAAACCTGATACATTACAATAAACCAACAACTGCCCTATGATGTATATAGAAGAGCATATCATAGCTGTTGTCATACAGCATTTGTTGTTGGGGTAATTTGAATATTACTTATTATTATTAATTAATTAATTTCTGAAACTAGATAAGTAACTGAATGAAATAAGCATACTTTGAATAACTTCAAGGTGTGCTTTTTTCATTCAGACCTAATCATATAGCTCTTCACTAACTGATGAAGACCTATATTTGGAAAAAGGAAAGAAAATTTGATTTTTTGTGTATTTTTCTACAATACAATTAAGTAAGAGTTGAAAATTAATCTGACTCCATAGTTTTAAATAGTTATTTTTGGATATTTAAGGAATTCTAAGTGTCAGAAATCATTTAGAAAATCCTAAAAATTTGTGATGATTTTATATGTATATGTATTTTTTAAATACCAATGTGCCAAATATTTAATTTCTTTTTAACAATAGATTATTTAACATTATATAGAATATTAATTTATAAAGGTTTTGATTTTGGATCATCCATTTTCAGGAAGATTTATTCATATACAACAAAAGCGAAATACAAGAATAAATTTTTATTAGATTTTAAACTTCCTTTTTATATGAATGAATGAATTCCTTTTTAAAGTTAATGAAATAATGTTTTTTGCACATAATAGATCTATGTTTTTATGTATATGTTTTGAGCTCTCTCTCTCAACATCTGGCCTTTTTTTTTTTTTTTTTTTTTTTTGAGATTGGACCAATTAAGGGCCTTTTTGTAAATTTTTTATTGGTGTGGTGTGGTTACTACGGTGCATTGTTATTTAAGGGATCTAAAAGTTAACTGACTAATCAAACTAACTGAACTATCTTCTTTCTAGGTACAGTGGTACCTCAGGATACGAAATTAATCCGTTCCGAAACTAAGATCGTATCATGAAAATGTCGTAAGGTGGATCATCTTTTCCCATANGTCCTGGTGCTTTTTTATTTCGGAGGTTGTTAAAGGCATTGTCAATCTCATGAAGTTGAAAGTCGGGGTCGTTTTCAGTGTGGATGTCTGCATTGGTTTGATGTCGAATTCTTTGATGGATTTCATTGTCATTTTCCTCTAAATCCTGCAGGCAGAAGCTATCGATTTTTCTGTTCGCAGCTAGGAGAAAAACTTCCCCTGCTGTGTTAGAATAGAGAATTTGACTTTTCCTTAGCTTCCTGGTACCGAGTCTTGTTATAAATTCCCATGGGCTTTTTGTGGCATTGGCACAGTAATTTTCCCAAAACTTCTGTTTGGCTTTTTTGATTTCACTTTTGTATATGTTCAAATTGTGGTAATATTGCTGTTTGTTGTGATTTCGTTGGGGTTGCGTGTGGCAGTTCTGGTATTTCTTCCTTAAGTGAATATTGTTCTTTTTAAGATTTGTCAGATCAAAAGTCCACCACGGGACGGATTTACGTTTGTTAACATACTGGGGAATGTACATTTTGCAGGCTCTATTAATGATGTCGATATTATGTTCAATGCTGCGGCGGGCTTCATCACTATCATGGTTGCAGTCAACTAGGTTGGTGGAAAGAAATGCCTGTAGTTCATTCCAATTGGCGCGTTTCAGGTTGTATTTCGGTCGTGGTTGGGAGAGATTGTTGGGGGAGGCAACACCAATCTTGAAAAAAATAAATGCATGATCATCAATATTGTCATCCAGGATTTTCCAATCATTAATGTGTGGGTAACATTCCAAAGAACAGGCCATCACATCAATCCAGCTGTGACCCTGGCTTTATGTGATGGTAGGCGGGGATGAAGGGTTGTTAACAACGAGCAGGTTGTTGTGGGCATAGAACCCTTCAAGAAAGCGTCCACGATTGTCAAGACGCTCTCCCCCCAGGTAGGGGAGTGGGCGTTAGTGTCCCCAGCCAGAATAAAATAGACATCAATAAAGTGGTCCATAATGTTTTGTATATTGTTGAGCATATGCTCGATGTTTAGGTTCTTTGGGCAGTAGTAGTTTATCAAAATGTGTCTTTTGCTGTTAATAACTATCTCAGTACAACAGATATACTGTGTACTCAGTGCCTTGTGGTGGAGAAGAGATAGTCTGTTATTGATGACAATGGGGTAATCGGTAGTGCCGCTGAGTGGAGTGCAGGTGGACCGGATGCAGGCCGGTTTGTTATTTATACAGTAAGGCTCCTGACAGAAAATAAAATCGTATTTTGGCATGAGAGAGCTGAGGATGAAAGTAGCTGCAATGCTCCTTCCAGCATTATACTGCAGAAAACTAATATAGTTATTAGCATATTGTTCCATAGTCGGTTTGTTTTAGCAAGTTGTATTTGATACGCTGGTAGATGTGGCAGAAGCTATCCCGTGCATTATGGTCGGAGTTACTAACTTCTTCATGTTTACAGTTGATGCAAATTGGTTGTTTGTCTCTTTGGTTGCAATCTTTAAATACATGTTCACCCGTGCAGTGGCTACATGTTGCAGTGGTCTGGCTACAATTTTTAGTAGTGTGACCGAATCTGCAACAGCGATAGCACTGCAGGACGGGGCAGAAATCCGCCACGCGACACCTGGACCACTCCAGGTTTACCTTGCCCAGAATTAACAACTGCTTTCGCAGCTGGGGTGTGACCTCGATCACCCAATTGGTAAATGGTTTAGTTTTCTTTCCCATTGCGAATTTAGTATTTAATGCCCCTTTGAAGTCTTCCTCAGTGAAATTTTCAGATATTGTATCGTTCTGATTGTATAAGAGTTGTGGCAATTCTTCATGTGCGATCAGTGAAGGTACGGAGTATATTATGAGATTCGGTAGACGTTTCTTAGGTTTTTTAACAGCAATCTCCGAAATTTTATCCTCAATATAGTTTTGAAGTTTTTGGGCATCAGCTGCCTTCTTAAGCTCGAGAGCCAAGCCGCCGTTTCCTATATTACGTATTCGTTCAACTCCAATATTAAGTTCAGATGGTTTTACTTTGTCATAAATTAATTTTCTTAAGTTATTGCAACTCGTATCATCGCTATTGTGATACAAGAGCAAGACCTCAGGACTAGACATAGGTGTTCTTGGGATTTTTGCGTTGGTATTGGGATTGACGATCTTGCTGGATCGGAGAACAGTACTATAAGTGATGGGTGTTTCAGCAGGAGAGAAATTGCTGGGGTGGAGCTTTTCCATCTTCTCCTGTACACTCTTTTGGTTTTCTAAGATTTCCTGTATAGGACCATCAGTAATAAACTTTTCTAGTTTTCTAGAGAGCTCCTCAGTTTGCCCTTTTGGGGCTACATAGTTTAGCTGTTCAGCTATATTG